AAAAAAAAAAAAGACAACTAGGACTGTGGATTTCTTAGCTTTCCTAGCACATGGCATTCAAAAGGTGTGTGAAATGAATGAACGAATAAGTGATTAGAAAATGATGTTGGCCTGCTAGAGTAGGGCAGGAATATAAAGGATCATAAAAGACAAGAAAAGGTGTTGTGACTTCATGCTGTAGGAAATAGGAAGTCACTGAAAGATTTTGGTCAGAGAAGGAGGAGAAGTTGTCCCCACCTTGCCGACGTCGCCTCCAAGTCAGTCCGCCTCCCCTGGGTCCATGCATGGGGCCTCGCCTCCCGAAGTGGGACTCAACCCAGGCAGGGGTTGGGGTAGGGGAGATGGTGGTGAGAGGGGCTGATAGGACGCATTCCTGGGGCCCAGGAAGCCTCACCTGGAGCGGGTTCCGGGGGCTGGGAGCCGCACCTGAGAGGCTAGCGGCCAACCCCCATGACAGACCAGGAAGGAAGGCCTGACACTGGGCACACTGACACTTGCCCGGTTAGGGCCTTAAACCAGGGCCCGGCAGGGCTGCAGTGCAACGGGTCCTGGAGCTCCAGGTCGGGAGTTGTCACTGGCCGAGCTGGAAGGAGCAGCTCCGCCGTTCGCAGGTCTCCATCCGCTCTAACACGCATCCTGGGGGGTTGAGAACCCCAGGAGTAGAGCCTGGCGCTTCATTAGGAAGTCCCGGCAGAGGGCCCCAGGACCTGGCGGAGAGCCTTGCGGGGCGGAGGTGTTGGCACGTCCCGGAAGCCATCCTTCCACTGACTGCGCGGGAACCCAGACCCGGGTGTGTCGAGGTCTTTCTGCAGCTCCTGCGTGATCCGCATCCTGCGGGGGCTGGAGGGGCTCCGAGTCCAGGACAAGCGCCCCGCACTGGGATCCTCCTGGCACCCCTGCGTCTGCACCAGCCGCGTCCCCAGCAAAGCAGAGTAGCGAAGGGTGAACCCTGGTTGGCCCGTGAGCGCCCTCTGGCGACAAAAGATTCAGTCACAGAAAAAAAAGCATTACCTCGCCCTGCCCCAGCCAGGCGTGAGGGTGGAGGGACCACCAAGGCCGTGAGGTCCGGAGGGGAGGCAGACAGCACAGGGACAGACCGCGTCGCAGATGAGTGCCTGGAAGTGCAGAGAGCCTGAGGGAGGGAGCCTCCGGGGAGGTCTGCCGGGGTCCTGCCTCGGCGTTCCAGAGAACAGTACCTGAAGTGGGGGGTGAGGTTTAAGGAAATAAAGAGACAAAGAAACAAAGAGGGTCCGGGAGGACTGGAAGCATTCTTAGCAACCAGCCTCGAGTTTATTTTTCCTCCCCATTATATACCTCCAGAGTACATGCAACACAGAAGGGATGAATATGCATTACCTCATTAAAAGTACATCATTAGCTATCCACTAGAAACCTGAAGGTCAGCGGAAAATTTAGAGGGTCAGTTTCCCAGGAAACTATCTTCTACAAACCCAGACAGCCCTCTATCTT